TGGCTCCGCTCAAAAAACAAGCAACATGTTTTCGGTTGTTGCCATGGTAGGCACCGGGCATCGTATACAAAGTTCACCAAAAAAAACACTCAGTCTTTAGAAGTTACTTTATTTTATTGTCAAGACATATTCTGTTGTTAAATTTATTATTTCCAACCGTTTTGCGATAGTATTTTCTAGATTGAAGGCAGCATTTACAGTTTATTCAAAGTTCAAAGTTGCATTGGGATTATGTTGATACAGTGTAACAATGTCGGCGCCAGTGATCCCTTACCAGTGTGCAACGTAGCCAAAATAAAAAGCATGATCATTTGAACATGGCTATATTTACAAAACTTGTAGGAGAAAATAAATGTGGGGGAGAAATATTCAAAAATCAGTTTTTGGCTGTTGCAATGACAGTGCTGGACCAGGATTTTTTTCCAATTAGTGACAGTAAAACCTACCTGTCAAGTATGAACAAAATCAGCCAAGCCAAAAAAATCACAGAGGAGTTAAAAGCCATTGCTGATGAAAAGTTACCTCCACTTTGAGGACAATTTTCTCGGTAATGAAAATAGACATGAGAAAAACAAACACCTAAGCTGAGTATAATGAGCTACATGTATGGTGGGCCAGAATTTGTGTTCAGATTTTACAGTGAAGGTGTGATTTGCCTGCCAAGTTTGAACCAAATCGGCTCAGCCAAAAAAATCACAGAAGAGTTAAAAAGCCATTTTTGGTGAACAGTTACCCCAACTTTGGGGTCAAATTTCTCAGTAATAAAAAAAAAATCAAAAATTCAAATAGTAACTTTGTGCCCACACTCAAGCTGAGTAGAATGAGCTATGTTAGTGGTGTTTTAGCCCAAATATCCCAGATACATTTGGCGCGAAGCTATCCAAAAAAATTTGTTTGGCTGCTGCTATGCCAATGGTGGGCCACATTTTTTTTCAGATTTTTTCCAATAACTAGGGTGAAGGTGTGACATACCTGCCAATTTTGAGCGAAATCTGCCAAGCCAAAAAAATCACAGAAGAAATATTTCGTGAAAACACTGGAAATCACACACACACTTATACAAACCTACAAAAGTGATTATAAGGGCAATTCCAGCGGATCGCCAAAAAGTGATTTTAAGGGCAATCCTAGCGGAGCGGATCGCCAATATGTTATTTAGAGTACTAACAAATTCCCATTTCCGGTCCAATTAGAATTAAAAACACCACGAATATTCACTTTTGAGATTTTCAGCTTTGTCGTCCTGTACTTCATTTAGTAATTCAAACTTCGAAATCGAAACCGCCTTGGCTTAATTATTTGCTGACAAGTTGACAATACCTAATAGTGCTAAATCGCCAGTTGTGAACTTTATCAGGATTCCCGTATGAAGTTATACAATATTCTGGCAAGGAAAAATATTGATTACTGTTATATAATAAACTATGAAATAATTAATATTTCATTTTTATATCTTTATTTATTAAAATATATACACATTATATCTAATTGGGGTGGGTGTTGCCAAGCAAGTTTATATAATATAAACAAATATTTTCGTTAATAACACTGACCGCGAAATACGCCTTTGAGAAGTATTACTATTTTATATTGCAATTTCTTTCAATTTGAATTAGTTGTATTGCAATGCATTAGTAATAATGTAAATATATACATGTATATACATTTTATTATTTCATTGTTGAGACTGAGTTATACAGTTTGTTACATACTACAATTTATCTATATTTGAAAACGGTTGTGGGGATAATTAATTTCAATAAACAATATTCAAATATCCTTTAAAATCATACCAATAAAATCATAAGGATAATGTTTACTCGTCTTTGAAACTAGAGGCATTATCAGAGCATGGGTCTTATTTTGGAACTCCTGCCAGGATGGTATTCCCAGAATAGCGCCAGTTGTTAAAGAAACATATAACTTTAATTCATAAAACATTAAGGATGAAAGAACCAGTTACTGAGACAGAGCCCTGCTCCCCGAAAACTCACTTACCGCGAAACTCACCGTGAAGCTACTAGTAATAATGAGATAAAATATTTGTTACCACATCTTCTACCCTGTTTTTATTTTCTGTGAATGACGATTTATTTTTTAAAATGTGGTAGTAACATTGTTCTTCATGATAATTTAGAAAATGATTTCATCTATAACATGAGAAATACTGATGCGAATTAGTTCAAATTTTCATTGTGCATTTTATTCATGTATATAATTGTAGTAATGGAAATTAGAATGTTACAAATACACATAAAGTGAATTTATTGCCAAAAATGTTAAAAAAATAAAAATCGTTATTTTAGTCGTGAAATATAGAATGACACTTTTTTGTCACCTTTTTGTGGTCAACAGGTAATATATCACCTATATACATTGTAACCTACTCACATCGGTAAATTCTATGCAATATAAGGAAATTTGAGCATTTGGTAGAAAAACATAAAATTGAATATTTTCAGTTTTGTTTCCATGACAGCTATTTTATATTAGCATGTTTGGCACTAGTGCCTGTATGCTATCATGTTCTAAACTTTCAGCCAATTTGAAGTTCAACTTTTGAAGTTATAGATGAAATCATTTTCTCAATTTCTGACAACAGATTCTATGATGTCATACTTTACCCATAATCCTTTGCTGAAGAATCAAGATGGCGGACTACATAAATTGATGAAAATTTGAATATCTAGAGAATGAAAATGGATATAAAAAAACTGTAAATTGCATGTTCGTACATTTGCCAAGTTCTTTTATATGGAAGTATTATGTTGTTAGCATTGACTTTCTTTTTAAGCAGTCTTGCATATACACGTATGGGTTGATCACAAGTCTCTGTGATCAAAACACATACATAAATTAAATAGTTTTGCGACTTACATACGCCATCTGTTACTCAAACTTCAATCATTTATGAGTAAAATGTGTTTTGTTAAAGTAATTTGTATACATATTCATAACACTTTTCATGTTCTCCCATTTGGTTTTATATCCCTTTTGATAATGGTGTGATCCGGCACTTTGAAATCTGACACCAAAATTAAAAAATTCATATAGCTGAACAGTTACATGTAGCTGGTTTGCTGACTGTTTTGCAATGTATGTTTACTAAACATTATGACACCTGGTGTAATGAGCCATGTAGGCATCAATGACTCCTACTCAGATCCATACACCATGGAACTTTAGCGAGGTTTCCACAAAGTCACATCTGTTAGTGAATGAAGCTGAGACAGTAGTGAGAAAACTTGGTCAGGGTTTGGATCAAAACTCTTTATGCTGTACAGCTCCAGGTAGGATTTGAGTCTAGGAGGTACCATGCATGTTGATCTGGTATATAAAATGCACTATGTCATCTGTTGCTTGTTAATAGGGGATTTTCCGTACAATTGCGAGATCTCGTGAGATGTATGAAAAACGCGCGTCGAACGTCTACCGCAAAAATCGAACGATTTGATTTTGAACTAGAATTTCTTTATTTCGTAACTCACATCGACTGGCCGATCTTCGACAGAGGAATATTGCTTCTGAATACCCTTACTTAATCGAAATTGCCTATCATCAAATGTGGACAGCACATTATTAAGCATGGAAATGTCCCCCAAAATACTTCGCGTTTGTCGAATCCCACGCGATGTTTGACGCCACTACGACGCTATGACCTTTGTTTGTCCTGTTTTTACGTTCGATTTCACGCATAACGCGTGATTCTCGCAGTGAACGGAAAATGGTCTATACATTTGCACAT